TATATGAAAAAATCGTTAACACTCCTGACACCAAATGTAGTGTACTAATTCAGAGACACGAGTAGGAGGCACTCGCTTGTTTATTCCGACCTTCACACATACTGGGTCAGGACAGCCAACATGCTTCCAGACCCCCAGCTCGAAGAGGCGAAGACCACAACTACGGCAGCACGACGAGTTCCACTCCAGATGGCAGCAGCCCCGACTGTGAGTCAGAGCCCGCCTTTTATCCTCCCCAGCGTGGCCAGGCTCTGCCCTCGGCCACGCACCCTTCTGGATCCCCCAGAAGGCTCCGGGCCTTGCCCACGTGTCCCACTGGTTAGACCGGGCTGCTCCCCATAATCCCAGCGCTACGTGCTCCAGTGACTCATTTTATGCCACTACACTAGTACAGCGCACCGGTGTGTTGGAGAGCAAAGCCACAACATTTACAATCATAGTACGACGTTTCGCCAGTAGTTACAACTAGCTTCAACAGGCGACATCCAGATTTGTGTTGGGTGGTGGCGGATTTAACGACACATTTAAATACTTACGCGATCTAAACCAAAAAAACAACTGTATTATGGATGATATTGGTCGCAAAAGCCTACTACATGTTAAACTGACCATTGTTGGGTGTGTATTGTCGGGCTCCGCACGTCAGGGGCCGCACTAAAGGCCGCTGGGGTGCCGCCAGTGGCCCGCGGGGCCCTGCAATGAAACCCACTGGGTGAATCACTCAATCACACTCAACAAGAACAAGAGGTCTCCTGACGTGTTGCCAGCAGCAGCTCGGAGACCTCCACCGTGAAACCTCAGCAGAGCAGTTCAACATCGTCCTCTTTGCTAGAGGACGGCCCGTGGAAACTAACTTCACGGAACTACTTGTGAGCTCTCTCTTTAATTGCCCCCTACAATATTGAGTTGTGCGTAGTGTGAAGTGAAGTCAGGGGCCATGTGAAGTGACGTCACAGGTCGTGTAAAGTGACATCATGGGTCATGTGAAGTGAAGTCACGGGTCGTGTGAAGTGACGTCACGGGTCATGTGAAGTGACGTCACGGGTCATGTGAAGTGAAGTCACGGGTCGTGTGAAGTGACGTCACGGGTCATGTGAAGTGACGTCATTGGTCATGTGAAGTGATGTCACAGGTCGTGTAAAGTGAAGTCACGGGCTGTGTGAAATGACGTCACGGGTCGTGTGAAGTGAAGTCACGGGTCATGTGAAGTGAAGTCACGGGTCGTGTAAAGTGACGTCACAGGCCATGTGAAGTGAAGTAACAGGCCATGTGAAGTGATGTCACGGGTCGTGTCAAGTGAAGTAACAGGCCATGTGAAGTGACGTCACAGGTCGTGTAAAGTGATGTCACAGGTCGTGTGAAGTGAAGTCACGGGTCGTGTGAAGTGAAGTCACGGGTCGTGTGAAGTGAAGTCACGGGTCGTGTGAAGTGACGTCACGGGTCGTGTGAAGTGACGTCACGGGTCGTGTGAGGTGAAGTCACGGATCGTGTGAAGTGAAGTCACGGGTCGTGTGAAGTGACGTCACGGGTCGTGTGAAGTGACGTCGCGAGTCATGTGAGGTGAAGTCACGGATCGTGTGAAGTGAAGTCACGGGTCGTGTGAAGTGACGTCACGGGTCGTGTGAAGTGACGTCGCGAGTCATGTGAGGTGAAGTCATGGATCGTGTGAAGTGAAGTCACGGGTCGTGTGAAGTGACGTCACGGGTCGTGTGAAGTGACGTCGCGAGTCATGTGAGGTGAAGTCACGGGTCGTGTGAAGTGACGTCACGGGTCGTGTGAAGCGAAGTCACGCGCCGGACCACGGGCCACAGGTTCTTCACCCCTGGTGAGACGATGACATCACCGCCCCCACCCCACCCCACGCTCTGTGGCCGTGGTGCAGGAGGGCGCTTGGCGTGGGCCCTGGAACAAGGAATTCAATGGGGGGGTGGGGGGTGGGGGCAGCCGCTGGTTGATTTAGAGGAGGGCAGGGGGGGGGTCATTGACGGGGAGGCGCGGCCCCCAATCTGCGGCGGGGTCACGGGGTGAGGGGGAGGGGTGAGGGGGAGGGGTGAGGGTGAGGGGGAGGGGTGAGGGGTGAGGGTGAGTGTTGAGGGGGAGGGGTGAGGGAGAGTGTTGAGGGTGAGGGGTGAGGGGGAGGGGTGAGGCTATTTTGAGAGATCGGCCACGACATCTCTCCGTGTCCACTCCGTGCCCGGCTCTCGCCCCTGGCACATTCTCGCCCCCCCCCCTCCCCCCGCATTGTCTCTCGCAACGCCCTCCCTGCCGGCTCCTCACCTGCGCATCCATCGCTAGCTCGCGCTCCGTCTCTGTGCATTCTCCCCGCCTGTACATCATCTGCGTAAGCAATGTCTGCCCGCTTTATCGACACGTCTGTGGGTTGTGAACTACCTCGCCTGGTATACAGGAGGGTTCCATCCTGACAATGTCCCCCTCCACATTTACAAACGTGCGTTTCGAGTATTTGGATGCTGCATATTTCCACATTATAAGCCACTTCGTTGAGCTATCTTCTGTGGCCAGGTCTTATCTGAGAAAGAGCTATATAGCTCAGGAGGCCTTACCTAGTGAAATAAAAAAAAATAGTTTAGCTTAGTCTGCTTTTCTGCATGCCCCGCTATCCGCCTCTGTGTTTTGTGCCGAGCTGCGAGACAGAGAGAGCCATGGCCGGCTTGGCCCAATATTGGCCACAAAAACACGACACTGAGAAGCACTGTCGTGAGGCGTGACACAGATTAATATTATTAATAACACTTTTTTAAAATCAGTTAATGGCCCATTGAGCCAGAGGTGTTTTTCAGCAGCGACTTGGCCACGAATGACAGCTCGACTAAGTGTACTTATCACGTGGACATTCATAGCAGCCCAAATCCTCTAAACGCGTGATGATTCACAACGTGGAAGGGAAAACAGGAGGTCCCGAACAAAAAATCCACGCCACCACGGGGAGAATAAAATTTAACTGCTGCACATTTTGTTGCCACCAAGACATTCCATATTGACCCGTTTCCTGTCTTATTTAATAAATTATCTTTTTCAGAAGCGACCTGGCCACAAATGGTCGTCCAACGAAGTGGCTTACAATGTGAAAATGTGTAGCAGAAAATGCAAACTGCAAATATACAGCAGCAGCAGGCGTCAGGATCGAACACACGACCTCCTGTATATCTGGCGAGGTAGTTAACATCTCCTAGCCACCGTGATGATGATGATGATGATGAGAGAGAGACACACACACTCCAAATATACAGCAGCAGGCGTCAGGGTCAGGATCGAACACACGACCTCCTGTATACCAGGCGAGGTAGTTAACATCTCCTAGCCACCGTGACGATTATGAGAGAGAGACACACACACTCCAAATATACAGCAGCAGGCGTCAGGGTCAGGATCGAACACACGACCTCCTGTATACCAGGCGAGGTAGTTAACATCTCCTAGCCACCGTGACGATTATGAGAGAGAGACACGCACACTCCAAATATACAGTAGCAGGGGTCAGGGTCGGGATCGAACCCACGACCTCCTGTATACCAGGCGAGGTAGTTAACATCTCCTAGCCACCGTGATGATGAGAGAGAGACACACACTCCAAACATACAGCAGCAGCAAGTGTCAGGATCGAACCCACGACCTCCTGTATACCTGGCGAGGTAGTTAACATCTCCTAGCCACCGTGGCGCCCTCGCTGGCACACCCGAGCCGAGTCTGCACGGCACGAGGGTTTTTTTCCCACTGGCTATTGTGAATGTCACCCGAGCCGCGAACAAACTGTGATGAGTAGTGGGGGAGGGGTTGGTCCCTGTTCATCCATACAATACTCATTGGCAAATCTGCGCTCTACTTAGCGAATTCATCAAAGTATCAATCCAAAGAAAGCCAAGGCGCCCATCGAATTGCCTGTTAGCTATCCCAAGATAGGAATAGGTGACAGAGCAGTTGCAGCATTAGCGCCGCCGACGTTGTGGAACGACCTTGTATCCTGCCTCGATTGACAATGTCCCTTCCAAAAATATCCTGAAGCGGAAGATTAGTGGTGGATATACAGCAAACTGTATTCGACAATGTGATTTGTAACTTTCATCCTTAGCCGTGTATCGATAGTACAATTTGTATGTGCCATTGTATTGAGGGACTGTGTGTTGTGGTCTTGGTGTGGTCTGGGACTGTTCTTGCTCTTGTTTTGCTGCCTTTCCCAAGCTTGGGAGTCGGTGTACTTATGCAATCGGAACTTATATACTTTATCTATCTTGATTTGAAGCTTTCGTGACTGTAGGAATCTAACTCCACTGCTGGATTATATTTTTGTCCGCCTGAGGACGACCGCTTGGGTTGCGATCGAAACGTCGTGATTTATTTTATTTTATACCCACGTGACTTTACCGAAAGAACCAAAGGGTAGACTTTATCTATTTTAAGTACTGTATTTATTTTTAGATATTTGCTTTTGATTCCTATACTCTGCACGCTTATCGTGTTGTTGAATTGTTTGCGGTTGTAACTTTCTGACCCACCCCCTACTGCAGATCTGTGAGATAAGAGCTTCATAGCTCATCGGATTTCTCCAGGATAAATAAAGATTAGGATGATTCTGTTATTACGCCTGAATAGGTGCGCGCTCTAACACCACTTACCCCAGCAGTTCTGTGCAGGCTATACGGGGGATCTTGGTCTTTGTTGTATGCATGTTGAAATTATTTCGCACCGTACAACAAACTAAACACACAAAGCAGCAGTTTTATGTGTTTAGTTTGTAAACAAATTAGTTTTCAATCTAGACGTACAAGTGCAGCGCTCCAGCGGCCTCCTAATATAGGAATGAAGAACGTTCCAGACGGCGCAGAAGCGCACCTGCACGCGCGCGATGCGGTGGCCACCGCCTTTGTCCGATGGCCATCGCCAAGCGCCGCCCAAGCTGCTTCGCTCGCGTGATGGTTGATGCATCTTGGCGAGATCAGCGAAGGTGTTGTCGTTCCGTGCGTGCGTTGCGGTGTCCGCAGGCAGGCGACCTCGGCTCGCAGGATGGGCACCGCGTTCGATGACAGCGTCACCAAGGAGAAGAAGAGGCAGGCACAGATGATCGCCCGGGGCCTGCAGGGCGACGGTGAGCAGCCTCTGGTGCCTGGGCTCAACCCCTGGCCTGGTCCTCGCACAATGAAGGAGTTTCACCTCTTTAGCCTGATCCACGCACGATGAAGGGTCAACTCTGTAACCTGCCTCTGTCCAGATATCTCATGATCATCATAATCAGCAGCCATGGTCAAGCCACTGCTGAATGGAGGCCTGCAATGTGACACAAATCCACCCAGGACACACGCACATCTGATTTCATCGCTCCATCTCTTAGATGGACTAACTACTTACTATTGACTATCTTTGCTTTACCAAGGCCCACTGGACGCCGCAGTGGCTAGGAGATGTTAACTCCGTCGCCTGGTGTACAGGAGGTCGTGGGTTCAATGCCGGCCCTGACGCCTGCTGCTGTATATTTGGAGTTTGCGGGTCTCTCTCCCCGTGTCCTCCGGGTTTTCTCTCCACATTTAGACACATGCGTTTAGAGTATTTGGTTGTTATACATTTCCACATCGTAAGCCACTTCGTTGGATGATCATTTGTGGCCAGGTCGCTTTAGACAAAGACAATTGATTAAATATGGCAGGAAACGAGTCACAATGGAATGCCATGGCGGCAACAAAATGAACAACATCATGGGACCTCCTTTGCCAATACCAAAATATAAGAATATGTTTTTCCACTTTTTTTCTGGCAACAAAACAGGTGTTAAGTTGATAAAACACCAAACTGACACCTTTTTATAAGGAATTATGTCTGCATTAACCACAATACTTGTGGTCAGAATGCAAACAAAAACACTAATAATATATGCATTGTCCTTGAGACGAGGCTCAAAAGAAAGCTGTCTTTGGTGTGGACCAATCAGTTTCAAAGACAATGCATCATATTATCAGAGTATGTTTTTTATTTGCATTCTGAACACAAAATTGTGGTTAATGCAGACATAATTCCTTATAAAAAGGTGTCAGTTTGGTGTTTTAACAACTTAACACCTGTTTTGTTGCTAGAAAAAAGGGAAAACCTACTCTTAAAATGTACAACAGTTAAACTTTACTGTTAAATAATAACTAACGGGGAGAAAACTACATAGATGCAGTTTATTCCATCACCTATTTTGTTTAAGTCAGAATGTGTGTTGCCACCTGCTGTACACCCGCTGCTGCTGTTTGTGTACAAGTAGCTGTGTTTGTGCACAAGTAGCTGTGTTTGTGTACAAGTAGCTGTGTTTGTGTACAAGTGGCTGTGTTTGTGTACAACTAGCTGTGTTTGTGTACAAGTAGCTGTGTGTGTACAAGTGGCTGTGTTTGTGTACAAGTAGCTGTGTTTGTGTACAAGTAGCTGTGTTTGTGTACAAGTAGCTGTGTGTGTACAAGTAGCTGTGTTTGTGTACAAGTGGCTGTGTGTGTATATACAAGTAGCTGTGTTTGTGTACAAGTGGCTGTGTTTGTGTACAAGTAGCTGTGTGTGTATATACAAGTAGCTGTGTTTGTGTACAAGTAGCTGTGTGTGTATATATACAAGTAGCTGTGTTTGTGTACAAGTAGCTGTGTTTGTGTACAAGTAGCTGTGTGTATACAAGTGGCTGTGTTTGTGTACAAGTTGTTGTGTTTGTGTACAAGTAGCTGTGTTTGTGTACAAGTAGCTGTGTTTGTGTACAAGTGGCTGTGTTTGTGTACAAGTAACTGTGTTTGTGTACAAGTAGCTGTGCTTGTGTAAAAGTAGCTGTGTTTGTGTACAAGTGGCTGTGTTTGTGTACAAGTAGCTGTGTGTGTATATACAAGGAGCTGTGTTTGTGTACAAGTAGCTGTGTGTATATATACAAGTAGCTGTGTTTGTGTACAAGTAGCTGTGTTTGTGTACAAGTAGCTGTGTTTGTGTACAAGTAGCTGTGTTTGTGTACAAGTATCTGTGTTTGTGTACAAGTGGCTGTGTGTGTACAAGTAGCTGTGTGTGTACAAGTTGCTGTGTTTGTGTACAAGTTGATGTGTTTGTGTACACGTAGCTGTGTGTACAAGTAGCTGTGTTTGTATACAAGTAGCTGTGTTTGTGTACAAGTAGCTGTGTGTACAAGTAGCTGTGTTTGTGTACAAGTATCTGTGTGTACAAGTAGCTGTGTGTACAAGTATCTGTGTGTGTGTACAAGTAGCGGTGTGTGTACAAGTAGCTGTGTGTTTGTGTACAAGTGGCTGTGTTTGTGTACAAGTAGCTGTGTTTGTGTACAAGTATCTGTGTGTACAAGTATCTGTGTGTATATAAGTATCTCTGTGTGTACAAGTAGCTGTGTGTGATGCGTCTCTCCTCTTTCTTTAAAAGTTTGGCTGACCCCCTGCTCTCGGCACGTCACTTTGGGCCACGTGACCAGCCCGGTGTGGACGATGATTTCCATTCACCCTGACGGGCACTGTGAGCTTGACTGTGAGAATTGGCCACACGACCACGCCGTGGATATCGCAGCGATTTGTCACGTGAACCCAGTGAACTACGGTGCGGAAACCCATTGCCCATTTTTACACAGAACAACAACATAAAAAGAATGCTGAAAAATAGACTTCACACGCGCGTGTAAGTACTATGGTCATTATTCCGTTCAGGCTGTTATTGCGGACGCCTCTCAGCCAACGTTAACGATGAAACCGCATCGAGATATCGCTCGAGCACTTTCACCGCTTGATGGCACCGTGCACTGCGAGCGCATCATTACCACCGACAAAAACACCGGCCTTCAACCTCGCCTTATTTGGGGGCATCAATGTCCCCGTAGCGTGAACATTCATGCCGCTGCGACATTGAAACGGCGGATGAGCAGCTCCGCTCTGAGTGAGACGCAGCAGCCTGCCCAGCACGTAGTGCGCACCGCGCGTCGCAGAGAAGATCATTGACGCGGCCTCAAGACGGCGAGCATCGCCTGCGCAGAGGGAGGAGCGACTCCGACTCTCAGCAGGGGGCCGCCTTTTGGCTCAGCGTCAAACAGAGGCGGTCACCGCATCGCGCGCTTCTGGATGCGCTCCTTGCGGCCGTCTGGAACGCTCTTTTCTTCCGATATTAGGAACTATGCACTTTTAAATCTAGCACTCTTAAGTCATCGTCTAGATTGAAACCCCATTTCTTAAGAACTTTTTTTGCGTGTGTTTAGTTTGTTGTCCTTTCCCCGCACCTCCGATTAGCACGGTTGGCTACGTACGGTGCGAAAGAAGTTCAACATACACACACCTGGGTTCATTCGAGTCAAAATTAAATTGCACAGAATATTTTAAAGAAAAGAAAACACATTTAACCGCAGACTAACTGTAACAATACTTTATCTAAGATGCGAACTAAGTCTCAGTGAAGAAGGATATTTTGCCTACATTTAATACATTTTTATTATACGAGGAACGGGACGTCAGGTGACTCGATGGGCAACCAGAGGCAGCGGAGAGAGGCCCTGGTGACATTGATGCAACACGGCCCAAGTAGAAACACTGGCCACGGGTTTCGTCAAACGCCGCTCCTCAACTCACTCGAGTGGCCTGCAGACAGACAGAGGTCGTGGTGAGCGGCGATGCCTCACCGCGACTGTGCGCAGTGCCCGCGCTATGCGAAGGGATGGATGACGATGATATCGATGATGAATCCACAACAGCTGCTGCAGCCACATTGGGGTTTGTAACGTGACACCCTTTAGCCTCCGTGTTTCCAAACGCAGCCCAGTCGAACCACCCTCACCGTGGCATCACCAAAACGGATGTGATGGGGACCCCTCCCTCCGTGGCCCCCTCCCTCCGTGGCCCCCTCCCTCCGTGGCCCCCTCCCTCCGTGGCCCCCTCCCTCCGTGGCCCCCTCCCTCCGTGGCCCCCTCCCTCCGTGGCCCCCTCCCTCCGTGGCCCCCTCCCTCCGTGGCCCCCTCCCTCCGTGACCCCCTCCCTCCGTGACCCCCTCCCTCCGTGACCCCCTCCCTCCGTGACCCCCTCCTTCCTGGATCTCTCGCAGGGATCCTGATCTTGGGCGCTGCAGTACACAGCAGGTCAGGGGTTCGATCCTAACCCTGACGCTGCTGTATATTTGTAGTTTGCATGTTCTCCCCGTGGTCACGTGGATTTTCCACATTTGTAATCAACATCATGCGTTGAGAGTATTTGGGCTGCTATAAATGTCTACGTGATGATATGCCACTTGGCTGAGCTATCACCTGTGGCCACGTCGCTTCTGAAAAAGAAGCTGATGGCTCATTGTGCCTTACCTGGTAAGATACAACATTGTTTAGTTGTATTTAAAGACTAGCTGTACTACCCGACTTTGCCCGGGACTTGGATCCACCACGCCCGGCCGCCTTTGTCTCCCCAGTGGTGATGTTCACACACCACACCAGTTACTCGTATGAGGCTGAGTTGAACTAGGGGAGGCCCAGAAGCGTTTGAATAATCGTCACCGGTGGTGGCCGTGAGCGGGAATTGAACTCGGGTCGCCGGGTTCGTAGCGCAGCGCGCTAACCACTCCACTGCAATGCGTTACTCTTCCACATGTGCGGGTCACGTGACAGATTTGACGTCACAGCTCACTTGGCGTGCAAAAAAAACACATTATTGAGCTCCCCCCCCCCCCCAAAAAAAAGTTTATTTTTATAATTTTTGTATGGTGTACAGTCTGGAAAATACCCTCATGGCATATTTCAAGTTTGTTGCATGTCGGGAAGTACGCCAAACATTTTCAACAGACACATATTTACAACTTTGCCTTATATATATGGAGATATGTAAGTCATTTGTTTACCTTTCCTATACTTTGCACTCCTCTGTTGTAACGTTGTGACCCTCCCCGACTTGGAAATCTGTAAAAAAAAGAGCTTTACCGATCATTGGATTCCTCCTCCAGTATAAATAAATATTCTGATTTTGATATTCTGACATCTCTGTCTCTCTAGACGCAGATGAGGACCTGGGCAAGAAGATCAGCGTGCCCAAGGAGATTATGCTGGAGGAGCTGTCGCTACACTCCAACAGGGGCTCGCAGATGTTCCAGCGGAGGCAGAGGAGGGTGGAGAAGTTCACCTACGAGACGATCGCCAACGAGGTGGACACAAGAGCAGCTCGCCCCACCGGGAGCCGAGTGGCACACGAGGGTAGACCACAGGGAGTAGCCGATCGGAGCGTTGGGTAAAGCGTCGGTACGTACGGAGGCCCCCACCCTCCGAGTCTTCCGAGACAGCCGGCCCGGCGTGGACGAGTAGGCCCAACAACTCTGTAAGAGGGACTTGTCTAATCACAGATAGATACTGTATGTAAGTGAGTGACGCTGTGTAAATCACGCGCGTAAATCCCAGCACAGCGACGCCTGCGATGGGGAGCCACTCACAGTTAGTTCCGGCTTGAATGAGAGCGTCGGAGTCATCGGTGACCCATCTCCAGTCTACAGCCCTGCAGAGCCAGTGGTGGTAATTCCACGCTCCCATAACTAGGGTGGGTTTGACCACAGGGCAACTGCCGTTGACTTCCCTGTAAAAGTGGTACCGATTTTATCGACCGCCGCGGAGGGATGGACGTGCCAAGTCAACCCCCAACCGGGACTTGAACTCACCACCTTTCTCACTGCGAGCCGCTCGCTCAACCGCTGAACCAGCCGGCTGACCTAACTTGGTGTAGAATGTAGGATTATATAATATGAACGATTATGTTATCTGCACATTGAAGCCTTTATTTGTCCAGGAAAGCGTCACTGAGTCTCGACGCTCACCTTCAGCAGGGTAATGCTTGGGACGTTTGGCCAATTCCTTCAAAGCGATTTCCCAACTCGGATGAGCGTTGAGGCATCCCGCGCTCATCTCCCGCTCACAGCCCTGCAGAGCCGGCAGTGAAGATTCCCCTTCCATGTGACAACGCTGCCGGTTCACGCCCATCGGGACAACCGTTGCAAAAACTCACAAACCCCTCCGGTTGCGAGCGACTCTGGGCGCAGCGGTGGCGAGGAGATGTGAACTGCCTCGCCTGGTATACAGGAGGTCGTGGGTTCGATCCCGGCCCTGACGCCTGCTGCTGCTGTATATTTGGAGTTTGCGTGTCTCTCTCCGAGTCCTCCGGTTTTTCTCTCCACATTTAGACACGTGCTTTTAGAGTATTTGGCTGCTATACATTTCCACATCGTAAGCCACTTCGTTGGGCGATCATTTGTGGCCAGGTCCCTTCTGAAAAAGAGCTACATAGCTCAGTGGATCTTACCCAGTAAAATGAAAAAAAAAATGTTTTTTAGTTTAAAATAAACAGGCGATGTCCCCCACCCACTTCATGGACACGCCGTGAGAGAGAGAGCGGCCGTGGTCACGCCGGGCTGCCCCCTGCGTCCGTGCCGCATGCAGGCCTGCGTGGACGGCCAGGACGGAGAGCTGGGCCCGGACCACGTGAACGGGGGCACAGAGGGAGGCACCGTGAGCAACCAGGACGGCGCCGACCCGGACGGCCTCGCCCCAGGTGAGGCTCGGAGAGTTGCGAGGGTCGCGGCGGTGGCCGACGCCATGCGTCGGCCGCGCTCCCTCCGTTCCACGGGATTCCCATAGAAGGGGCGCAGTCGACAACCGACCAGCTGGGCTTGGTGTTGCACCGCCACCACCGCTAGCACTGCCACCATCACCGCAGACACTACCACTGCCACCACCGCCACAACAACCGCCATTCGCCACTAAGTGGCGGTGACGTCACCACGACGCTTGTGCAAGGCCATGTGCGTGTTGAGGTCACGTGAAGTGTCGAACGCCCGCTGGCAGGAGGTCAAGGAACAGACCCAGGTGCCACGGGTCGACTGACTAAGATGACTGACTGATGCACCACCTGTGCCCCCTACTGTGGCAACTTGCTGTGCATTAGCCACCCGGTGCTCCGCTTGTTGTTGTGAGCGTCGCTCTTCCACCCTCCGTTGTTGTTGGAGGGCGACTGCCTCCAACTGCCCAGTAGCGTCCTTCATGGGCCTCCTCCACAGAGGCCGATCTTGACACCGCTGGTACCAGTCATCGGCAAGTGCACTCAGCTCCACATCCTCCTGTACCACATCACTCCATCTCTTCTCTAGCCTGTGCCGCGCCCGTTTAGCCCCCTAGATCCGGCCGAACAAAAGCTGTTTAGGCATGCGTTGGCTGGGCATGTGGGCTTCATGACCCAACCAACACAGCATTGCCTGCCGGAGGAGTTCACCGATGGGACTTTGTCCAGATCTTTCAAGGTTTTGTGAGCTCCTCACATAATCCTGCCTGATTAAACCCAGGATGGATCGAAGGCAGGCCAGCCTAAATATGTTCTAACTAGCGAAGATGTTCCATTAGGGAGTCCACGTTTGACAAGCGTAGAGAAGGGGGAGAATGACTGTGGCCGAGAATACCTGAAACTTCGTGCGGAGCGACAGGCCAGGTAGCTTCCACATAGCGTCACGCAACCGATGAAAAGATATTGCCGCTCGACTGATTCGGAGTGAGACCTCTGCTGTCAAACTGGAGCCGGTAATGAGCACACTGCCCAGGTATGGGAAACTCTCCACTCTCTCCACAACTGTCCCATCACCAATTGGGAGTTGTGGGGGTGGAGTATCCGATTGTACAAAATACCCAGGCAAGTGCTTAGTTTTGGTGGGACTGATGGTAAGGCCCCACCTCTTAGTGGCAAGCTCCAGGTTCAGCAGCAGCGCCTCCAACTCCTCTTCTGAGTCAGCAGTAATTACCAGATCTTCGGCATACATAACATGGTTGACCAAGAGAGAACCATCCCTTGACCGCACCCGGGCATCGATCAGCCTCCCATTGTATCTGTACCAGATGGAAATTCCTCCGGTACAGCCATCAAAGGCTTCACAAACTACGTGGTAGAAATAGATGTTAAATCCCTGTCGCACCCCAAGGTGAACAGGGAATGGCTCCAACTCCCGGCCACGTAGTTTTACCCGGGCCTGCTCACCATCATGAAGTTCCTTAATGATCGTGAGCAGAGGGTTAGGGACTCAGAAAGCACGAAGAACAACCCAGAGCCCGGGCTTACACCTCTGCTGTAGCAGGCGGACAGAAAATATGGCATCTATGCAGGACCGCCCTTTCCTGAAACCGCATTGGACTTCGCAAGCCTCTCCTCAGCGTGCCTATCAAAGGCGATGTTGAATAATCCTTGCCAGGACCTTTCCCGGCACACTGAGGAGTGAGATACCCCTGTAGTTGTTACAGTCTGTGCGGTCCCCCTTCTTAAAGAGGGCGACCACCACCAGGGCATCCTTCCAATCCTGCGGAACCCGTCCAGTGGTCCACACTGTTGTTATGTCATGTAGGGCAGTCTGTGCACAAACGCCACCCTCCCTCAGCATTTCGCTTGGGAGATCATCTCTGCCCGGTGCCTTTCCTGGTCTCAGACTCTGGATCGCCTTCAGTACTTCCTCAACAGATGGCACCTCAGCCAGCCACTCACAGGGGGTGACTTCTTACAATATTTGAGGCACCACAGCCTCAGCAGGGTCATCCCCACTTTGTCCCACGATTTTCCCTCCCCCAGGACCTCACAGAAATGCTCAGCAAATCTGAAAACCAGTTCCTGGGGGTCGGAGATTGGATCACCATTCTTTCCCCTAATGATGGTAATAGGTGTGGCGCTGCAAGTTACTTTTTTGATGGCGTTAAAGAGCGTTTGTGATCGCAGGCCACTAAGGCAGACTCCATCTCCTCAGCAACCCGCGACCACCACCCATCCTTGCAGCGCCTCACAGCTCTCTGTACCTCCGCCACCACCGTCACCACCGCTACCACCAATGCCACCACCATCATCGTCACCACCACCACCGCTGCTGTTACTGCTACCACCGTCACCACCGCCAACGCTGCTACCACCACCACTACCACCGCCACCACCATCACCACCTCTGCCACCACCGTCTGGCTTTGGGTGTTCCCTTTGCCTGGCGCATCCTTCAGGGAACCAATCTTAAACTCCCACCCCCACCATGTGATTGAGCTACAGAGCATCACGAATTAGCACGGTTGGCTACGTACGGTGCATGAATGTATGTATGTTGAACTTATTTTGCAGCATATGTAGCCAACCACGCTAATTGTCGGTGCAGAAGAAGTTCAATGTACATACACAACCTCAGGTAGTCACGTGAGCTCTTCCCCTGTGCCCACCACGGCAATCAGCGGCCAAATTTATCCAGAATTGGGGAGGTAAACGTTTGACAATAGGCAACTTATTGCCCTAAAATCGCCTTAACGAATCGCCGCCTCGAGGCCGTCACAGGAGGCGATCTCGGGATCTCCGCCGCCGTGCTCCGGTGAGCGAGGAGACGCCGGCACGGAACTTGGCCTTTGACGGTCGGCCTTGCATTTAACCGTGAGCGCGACGCCGATGACCGAGGCCGTGACGGAGCTCTGGGCCCCAGCGTCCGTCGGCTGAGTGGGCGGGCGGGCGAGGTCGGGGCCGGGGTCGTTGAGGTCGCATGCAAGGCCACATCGACGTTGTTATGAACGGCCAACATCACCGAGCGGTCGAGTGTGCGCGAGGGATAACGGAGCGCGTGTTCAGTATTCGCGCCATCGCTCTCACAGCGACGGGCAAGCGGCGCTGCTGCTGTTCACAGGCGTGGTCTGCGGTAGGGGTGATGTTGCCGTGCGCGATCCCAATTGAGTAACACAAAATCTTAGCAACTATTGACGCCAGCGCACAATCTGCAATAGCGAATGACATCACGGGATGTCTAACGTCCGCTGTGAGTGAAGCAGATGGCGCCAGCGGCGCATAGCATTTGGCGGTGAATGCCCTGACAGCGCAGTGACATCCAGGGTGGCCCGTCAGATTCAAACCGCGAACGCCTGCAACAAGCTAAAACTAAACTATTCTTTTTTATTTTACCAGGTAAGGCCCACTGAGCTATGTAGCTCGTTTTCAGAAGCGATTCGGCCACAAATGACAGCTCAATCAAGTGGCTTATCATCACGTGGAAATGTACAGCAGCCAAATACTCTAAATACGTGAAGCATATTCTAAATGTGAAGGGAAAAAACGTAGAACCTGGATAAAAATCCACGTTACCATGGTGACAGAGACACGCAAACTCCAAATATACAAAATGCATCAGGATCAGAATCGAACTCACGACCTTCTGTATACCAGGTAAGGTAGTTTCCATCTCGCCACCGTAGCGCCCCAAGCGGTTAACGCGCCGTCGACAGCGCGTCCGTCGGTTCGGGCGCCGCGCCACTCACTCCGTCGCCGCCGCCTCCTCCCGCGTGCCCCAGGCCATGCAGCGCCCGGGCAGCAGCCGGAGCCGTTCAACATCACGGCCATGCCACGCATCTACCGCTCGCCTTGGGAGCAGGCCATCGGCGACGACCCCGAGCTGCTCGCCTCCGTCCATCCCAGCATGGCCCAGCCGGGGCCGGCGGCCGACAAGGCGAGCTTCAAGAGCTTCAACAGGTAACGGGCGTGCTGGCGGCATGGCCATTGAGTGCGCGGGCGGTGCAATCGCACTTGAGGGAACCCCTCCACCATCTTTGCCCCCCTGGTGTACCCGTCTCTCCGACCGACCGACCGTCTCTCTTCTCCCATCGTCCGGTGGACGCGCGGTCCCCGTGGCGACGCAGGCTGGCCACGCCGTATGGTGGCTTCGAGAATGCGTCGCAAGTCACCGTGTTCCACATGCCCAAGCTGGAGCTGCTGCCCCTGGAGCCGTCCTCCGACGGGGGCCTCATCGCGTCCGAAGGGCTCACGGCGCGGCCCACCTTCAACCGCACGCCGCAGGGCTGGAGCGGGCCCAGCGGAGAGCTCAGCCTGGGCATCAACCTGGAGCTCGCCCCCTTCGGAGATGGCTCCGAGTCCGAGGACCTGTAGGGCCGGCGAGCGAGAGCGACGACGACGTCACAGTCATCGTCGTCATCGTCACGGTCTCATGGTCGTCAACTGATCAGTCGATCCACCGTGAAGGCTTCCACCCCCCCCCCCCCCCAGCTGCCGCCACCTCTCACGGGTCTGGGCTCGTGCCGACCCTGCTGGGCTCTCTGCTGATCGAGAGAGTTCCGTCATTGAGAGGCGAAGTCAGGAAACGGGCGATAACGCCTCCTTCCCCATACATCTGTCCCTCCACATAAAAAACTAAATCTTTTTTTTTTCACATCCCATCAGCCGCACGGCCCTCTGGGAGTGCATCATTGTCAGCAGCATTGGTTTAGCGTAAGCAAAACTCTGGACCGGTTTTGACAAGCAGTCTCATTGGCAGAGCAAAGCTTCCTTGAACCTGATGGGATTTGTAAAAAAATACTTTAAATATTTTGTTTTACATCGAGGGATGGAAATGGGAAGGAGGCGAATTGTCTGCTCATTTGATTTTATTAATTGTACTTTTGCACGATGAGGCTCGTGATGATTGTCATGATGGCCGCGTGATTCGACATCGATCGCAATCGGTGATCAGATTAAAAAAATAAAAAACGAAATAGCACCGCTAATTAAATTAATTACTCATGACGCTCACAAAAACCCTGAAAACCTAGAGCAAGCGACGCCTTCACCGGCCTCGCAGCTCCGCAGTCCCAGTAAGCAGGCCTTAATTAGATTTCTCCTTCTGTGTTTTTTCTGCTTTAACAAGATCCGATTAATACAGATTCCAACGAGTAATTGAGAGTGTCAGACAATTAATCGTAACTTATTTAAGCAGCTTGTAGAAATGTAATCGGGTTAACTAACGAGAGCCGCCGTATCAGCCGAGCGTGCCGCGGGTTGTATCTGCGTCTGTACCGCGGGTGATCGTGCGTTATTAAAACTGTGTTGAACAAAATCGCGTCACGCACACACACTCACGTACGTACACGCGCCGCACGGATCACTCCGAGGCCGTTGCGCCGCTGGAAGCTGAACGAGCGACGCGTTCCCCCTCTCTCCTTGCTCTCCCTTTCTCTCTCCCTCGCTCTCTCCCCCTTCCTATCTCCCTGTCTCTCGTATGGGCCGCCGTTTCGAATGTTCCTCCAGATGTCGTGATCCATCGCCCCTATAATATGTAAGATGATATATTCACAATAATTATGATATATTAAATAATGGGTTATTTATCCAAGAAAGTCACACTACTTTTTCAGCAGGGTCCTGCTGCTATATTGGTTTTTTTATTTTAAGATGTTTTCAGACAATCATTGATGAGTGTTTATGCGTGTGGGAGGAAACCGGAGAACCCGGAAAAAAGCCACGCGGCGTGAGGGGGCAACGCTCTATCCCCAAACAGATAAAAACGGATGGCGATTAGTCGACTTGCTGTACTTCCTTTCACCTGGCGAGAACCAGGGTATGACTCATCCTCGATGTCCACGGGAAGGGAGTTTCACAACATCCGTGCGCAGCGATCCACAGACCCTCGCTGCTGCCTCCACAGCGCTGGATCGCAGGCTGCCACATGCAGCGGCGTAGCCACCACCAACCGTCACTGCCACCGCCGCCCCAGGACCACCGGCCTCCTGCTGGATAGGCCACTCCACGTCGTGATCGGTGAAGCAAATGGAGCGGCCACTCTAAAGCAACGTCCATGTTGTGAATCGAGCTGCTGGCCTCCGACGATGATGAGAAGGGGCATTCGAGTGCCACCGCTCGTGCCACCACTAGTGTCACCACCACTAGTATCACCACCGCTAGTATCACCACCATTAGTATCACCACCACTAGTATCACCACCGCTAGTATCACCACCGCTAGTATCACAACCGCTAGTATCACCACCACTAGTGTCACCACCGCTAGTATCACCACCACTAGTATCACCACCGCTAGTATCACCACCGCTAGTATCACCACCACTAGTGTCACCACCGCTAGTATCACCACCACTAGTATCACCACCACTAGTGTCACCACCACTAGTGTCACCACCGCTAGTATCACCACCACTCTTGTCACCACCACTAGAATCACCACCGCTAGTATCACCACCGCTAGTATCACCACCATTAGTATCACCACCACTAGTATCACCACCGCTAGTATCACCACCGCTAGTATCACCACCACTAGTGTCACCACCGCTAGTATCACCACCACTAGTATCACCACCACTAGTATCACCACCACTAGTATCACCACCGCTAGTATCACCACCGCTAGTATCACCACCGCTAGTATCACCACCACTAGTATCACCACCACTCTTGTCACCACCACTAGAATCACCACCGCTAGTATCACCACCGCTAGTATCACCACCGCTAGTGTCACCACCGCTAGTATCACCACCGCTAGTATCACCACCACTAGTATCACCACCACTAGTATTACCACCGCTAGTATCACCACCGCTAGTATCACCACCGCTAGTGTCACCACCGCTAGTGTCACCACCACTAGTGTCACCACCACTAGTGTCACCACCGCTAGTATCACCACCGCTAGTATCACCACCGCTAGTATCACCACCACTAGTATCACCACCACTCGTGTCACCACCACGAGTATCACCACTACTAGTGTCACCACCACTAGTATCACCACCACTAGTATTACCACCACTAGTGTCACCACCACTAGTATCACCACCACTAGTGTCACCACCACTAGTATCACCACCACTAGTATTACCACCGCTAGTATCACCACCGCTAGTATCACCACCGCTAGTATCACCACCACTAGTATCACTACCACTCGTGTCACCGTTCGTGCCCTCGGGGACCGCTCGCCGTGGCCACAAGTAGCCAGCCGCTGCCCGGTGTACGTTGCCGATTGGCGTGCGTGAGTCACCCCAGTGTCTACTCCGCGTAGGAAGCTCCCAAAACCTCCGATTAGCACAGTTGGCTACGTATGGTGCAAAAAAAGTTCAACATACAGATATGCATACAGGGCCTCGCATTGACGATTCTGGAAGTTATTCGTGAAGAGAGTAGCCACGCTTCACATTCACCCCCAAGGGACACATGTTGAAATAAATACAGAGTATGTAAATAAATAAACATTCACATTTGAAAACAAAAAGAGAATGTGATTTGCAAACACATCAAATCGTGGTAGAATGCGCCGAGGCCAAGGGATGGCAGTAGGGAATAGGATTGGTGAATTCATCTGAGTGGAGCATTGAGTGTTTACTCCCTCATATGCATCGGCTTTCCCTGGCTACTCCGGTTATCTCCCACATGCCACTCAATTACAGATCTCGCAAAACATAAACATGCAGGACACTCCTGCGTCTTAAGACTCAGCCAAGCTGTCTCATTAATGCAATTAAATCCATGATCTTATTTACAAAACACATACATTTAAATTTACACAAGGCATGAATGTATAAATTGAAACAGAAGTAGTTATTTTTCACCACAGCAAGTGGGAAATACAAAAACACGTTCCCCACCGCCATAGATCGCTTCGAGCTAATGCCCTCTGAAGTCACACACGGCGCGTGTGACATCACAAAAGGCTGCTGAGCCAATCACGGTGGCTTTCCTGTTTTAAGGTGGAAGGTGGAAATGGTGCTCGTGTGCACCGACGCCTCTCACCTTTCCTCTGTTTACAGATTTCCTCATAGGGTTTTTATTCAAAATCGAGGCCCTCCACACAAGTTCTGTTCCAGTTAAATGCAACTTCTCCGAATCACTTGGCCTTTTAGGCCTTTTGGGCCTCTCTTGGCGTCACTGGTTCGGCCTTGCAGCGGTCTCTCTGTCTGTCGCGCTGTCTTTCAGCCGAGATGGCTTCAGTCCCGTCTAGTGTTTTGTACAAAATCTTAAAACAACAATGCAAAAGCTACGTTTGCAGAATTACAGTGCCTCGCTTTTTCCTCAGGATTGGTCACGCGGCTCTCAATTTGTTCAGGCAACAAAACATCGCCTGCCCAAGGCAGCAACAACCACGGACGGACATTTCCAACAACGTTTGCAACCTAGCAATTCCTCTCCCGGCAAAAAAGTAACGAAAACCACCCCCCCCCTCCTTCCCCCAACCAGCGGCAAAAACAAAACGGCCAATCGTAAAGCAGGCGGCGTAACGGGAAAATAAGAATATAGACGCCGCGGGCCACAATGGGCCGTGTGACGGTACCGTTCCAAACGGTCAGATTAGGCCGCCTCTAAGCGTGACCACACAACCGCCCGGTCACAATAAAAAAACCACGCTGCTATCACGAGGCGCCTTTCATTTACGAGTGGAGTCGGACGCGGCCCGTCCGGTATCGCGTCAGGGCCTGTGGAGGAGCGCTTTAGACGGCCGCGCAGCGGCACTTTCTATAATTAAACGCGCGCTCGGAATTCCTCGCGTGGAATCGCGACGCTGTGTTAAAAAAAAAACTTAGACAAAGCCCCCCCCCCCCCTTCCCCCCGGCCGCATGGCTCCGGTGGGCCCCCAATTTAACGGCGTACGTGCCGCTGTCCATCCGTGCACAAAGGGCAAAACGCAAATGCCGAACACCTGTCCGCCATCCGTCGGCGCGATGAGCCGAGGGACGCGCAGGGCCCATTCCCTTGCCACCGTCGGTCGCAACCGAGCGTAGACGACCAGCAGGAGCAATTAGTTACAATTAATTGGGCGCCACGGTGGCTACATGTTAACTACCTCACCTGGTACACAGGAGGTCGTGGGTTCGATCCCGACCCTGACGCCTGCTGTATATTTGGAGTTTGCGTGTCCCCGTGGTCGCGTGGATTTTTCCCAGGGTCCTCCGGTTTTCCCCTCCACATTTAGAAACAACATCACACGTTTGGAGTAATTTGGCTCCTATACATTTCCACACGATAAGCCACTTTGTTGAGCTTTCAGTTTTAGGCAAGTCGCTTCTGTAAAAGAGCTGCATAGTTCAGTGGGGCCTCACCTGGTAAAATAAAAAATAAAAGTTTAGTTTTAGTTTAATTGGAGAAGCGACAAGTTCAGGACGGTCGTGCGCACGCACACGCACGAATTACGGAACGCTTTCCGATGTGTGTTCATGCGTGAGTGGAGGCATTTCATTAAGAGGCACGGAAACTGGCATGAAGCCGTCATGGCAAAAAAAAAGTAATTACGGTGGTGCCTCTTTGCTTTCGCTTCGACATTTTGGGGAACCTTTTGACACAACGTGGCCAGCTTTCTCATCTATGAGGAGTCCCTTATAGCAAACGCAACTTTAGTTCAACTCACATTGAATCATCTTTACAAGATTTATCATCTGCAACCCCCACCCCCCACATTACAGACAGACAGAACAAACGCAGCAAAGCAAAGCCTATGACCTCATTTGGAAAGCACGGGCAAGCGTAGCCACAGCGGTTTTGCACAACGACAGCAGCCGTGGTTGCGCGAATGATGGAACGACGGGAGGCGGACAGCGGCAGAGGTGGCGACAATGGGAGATGTGAAAAGACGGAAAGTATTCCCGCGCCACGGAGCTCAAAATTTACGCGGCGATTAGGACACGGGGACCCGTCCTTGCAGCGCGACGGGCACAGATGGGCCTGGGTTAGGGAAGAGGTCAGGCAAGAAGTCACCTGCTCGGCACCGACCTCGTTGTCGTCGACGCGACAGTTCAATTCCGGCCACAGCCGCCGGCCACTTTCTGCGGGGACATTAACCGCAGCGTGCCGCCCCGCTGCAAGGCGCAGGTTAAAAAAGGTGAAAGAATCCCGTGACATAATTAGCAGGAGGAGGTCACCGCGTGTCTCGGCGTCACCCGGTTAATTAAAACTGAGTTGGCAACAACGCTGGCAAACCTCGGGAGCAGATCAAACTGGAACAGCGGTGACGCTGGGCGCAATCAGCAGCGCGCAGATCTGCACCGTAATTAGCAGGACAGCAGCTGGTGCCGGAGCAAGTTAAAAGCATAGGGGCAATTGGAAAGCAGGAAGGGGCTCTCGGGCATCCAGGGCTCATACTTTATTTATTTTTTCCAAGAACCCGACCGTACCATCCTTCGGGAGGTATCCGCGAGGACCAAATGCGCAGTGAACCAAGGCATTACTTTTTCGTTTATGAGAACTACAGGGGAAAGTTGGATCCCGCCACCCCGACACCACGGGGGTGACGATCATGTGCAGCGTATTTATAAGGCTGGGGGGAAGAAAGGGAGGAGGGATAATATAATCCAACAATCGAAAAATAAATGCAATGTCCG